ACAGTGAACATCACTTTATTAATTGAGATGAATTGGTTCCTCAAAAATGCAGAAATGGCTCGAGTCTACGGAATTCAATTTCACGAAGTCTGGACCCGAGGTTCCCAGTTAAGAGTTGAATCTATGCTTCTTCGATTGGCACACCGCATGAACTTCGTTGCTCCATCAGTAACACATCTTCAGCGAAACATGATGGGATCTCCCGAACAGCTTCAATTGATTCTGGAGCCTCAGTCGAAAGTGTACTTTGATCCAGTGATTGTTTTGGACTTCCAGTCTCTCTATCCCTCAATGGTCATCGCTTACAACTATTGTTATTCGACGATTCTCGGGAAAATTGCGAATTTGAATGCAATGAGCAATGAGAGTAAAAATCGAGAGGAGATTATTCTGGGAGCAATTAAGTATCATCCTAGTGTTCGTTTAAAAAGAGTTTATTCAAATATTTAAATTGTGTTTTTATAGAAAAACGACCTGGTTAAACTTGTGGCTTACAAGGAAGTTTGCGCATCTCCACTTGCAGCGATGTTCGTGAAGAAATCGAAACGAGAAGGAGTTCTTCCGCTTCTATTGAGAGAAGTAAAGCTTTAAATTTCATTTTTAAATGCTCCAAAAAAGAGAAAAAGGTATCTTACCGGGGGCAGGACTCGAACCTGCGTCGGGTCGAGGCCCTTCGAGTCACTGCGACTCGCGCCTTGCCCCACTCGGCCACCCCGGTAGATATTCTGAAAATGTGCGAACAATAATAAAACCCAATTGATACGGGATAAAAGAGGGGTTTTCGAGCAAATCGAATATGGGGAATCGATTGATATGTGTTAGAGTAAAAAATTGGGGATGTGGGTGCCTTTCCCCTTCATCAGAAGCAGTTAACGTTACTCGATCACTCTAACGTGCTTGAAAAACAGAAAATACGAATTTTCCGCAAATCAAAAGTAAACATTTTTCAGATTCTCTCTGCCAGAATCATGGTGAAGAATGCGATAAAACGAACAAAGAGCAAAAAGCTAAAACGGATTCTGGATGCACGTCAGCTGGCACTGAAGTTGGTTGCAAACGTTTCATACGGCTACACAGCGGCGAATTGGAGTGGACGCATGCCTTGTGCTGAATGTAGGGACAGATTTTGCCTCCGCGTCACTTCGAAACCGTCGTAATGCAGGCGAATGGATAAATTTCAGGGTTTTGAGACATGCTTTTTCTGAGAGAACACATTCTGAAAATCGAAAAACTCGACAATTTTCCTTTTTTTTTTTTGAGAACAGTTGGATTTTTTTCGATTTTCAAAAGGTGTTCGATCAGAAAAAGCATATTTGAAAACCCTAAAATTGTCTCTGTAGTCTGAAGTTTATCCATTCGCCTGCATTACCACGGTTTCAAAATGACTGGTTTTGAAGTGACGCGGAGCCCAAATTTTAAGCTCTTTGACACATTTTATACATTTCAGTAGCCGACGCAATTCTGGGAAAAGGTCGAGAGACACTGGAACGAGCTATCGAGATGGTGCAACGAGGAGATTATGGTGGATCGGAAGTGATTTATGGAGACACGGATAGTCTTTTCGTGTTGGTACGTGGAGCAAGTGTAGAGGAAGCGTTTGAAATCGGACGACGGATTGCTGATGACGTCACAAATTCGAATCCAGATCCGGTGGTTTTAAAACTAGAGAAAGTTTACAAAGGATGTGTTCTGGAAACGAAGAAACGATATGCTGGATGGATGTATGAACACGAGAATGATGAAGGATCGCTAGATGCGAAAGGGATCGAGACAGTGAGAAGAGACACGTGTCCGATTGTTTCAGAAGTTTTGGAAAAATGCTTGGATTGATTTTTTCACAGAATTGGAAGACATTGATTACCTATCTGAATACAATGGTACTATCACTTCAAAATGAGAATTTCTCGAAATTTGTGTTTTGTAAAGAATATCGAGGAGACTATTCACAACGGGCGATGGTTCCACAGAAGAAGCTTGCAGAGTAAGACCTGTAATAGAAGGGCTCCCACCCTGCCAAGTTTGAGTTCGATTATCTCCTTTTCTGTAACAAATATCAAAAATGTGTCAACTGATAAAATGTTTATCATAATATCAGAAGCGTTTTGTCAGTTGGCAAAAGTTTAATGTCTCTTACAGAAATAGAGATAAATTGGCTCAAAATGTATAAGTGAACAGAGCTACGCGGTCAGCTATGAACCTCTTTACCTTGAGGTCAATTATCTCGATTCCTGTAAGAGATATCAAGAAATTGTCAATTGATATAACGCTTCTGAATTTATGATAAACAATTTATCAGTTGACCAATTTTTGATATCTCTTACAGAAATTGAGATTTTTGAGCTCAAAGTACAATATGGCAAATACGACACCCAATACTTTACAGAGCTCGTCTTCGAAACTGCTCATCTCACATCACATTACGAGGAGAACGAGTTCCATATGTGATCATTGATGGAGTGTCTGGATCTACAGTATACTCATGTGTTAGATCAATAGAAAGCTTCGCGCGTAATCCGGAATACAAAATCAACACATACTACTATCTGAATGCACATATTCTCGCTGCCCTTCGAAGGGTTACTGACTTGATTCCAATGAAAATCGACTTTTTGCCACTAGCAGCTGATCAGTGTTTTGTGTAAGCTTAGCCTTTATGATCTGAGCTTAACCCTTCAAAAATAAATATTTCAGAACGGAATGTTCTCGAATCGGAAAAACGCCTTGGTGCATCGAATGTGAGACGAATCCAGAAGAATTGGCTCTGGCGTTAGTTCAGTCTGGGAGAGAAGGACGAGCAAGAACGCGTTAGTATTTCATTTACAGAATTTGAATTTGTGATTTTTTCCAGAAATTCGTCAAATCTGCACATCTTGTCAGTCTTCTACCACGAGAGTCAATGATGAACAAATTCTGGAATGCATGAATTTCTCGTGTCTTCTCCGTCAGACGATGTCGATTATGGAGAGAGCAAGGACGGATTCAATTGTTCAAGCTCATACATTGTTCTAGTCATTAATTTTGTGTTGTTTTTATTTATTTGCATGAAGACCATTATTCTAAAAATAGCTTTATCTTCGAACAAATATTAATATAAGAACAAATATTACAGAAAAAGAGAAACAAGAAAATTATAATTTGCAGAAAAATAACTTTAAAAACACGAAAGTTAACATCCGCAAGAGACAGTTTGAACACCTGAACTCTTCATTGAAGCCTGTCGATTCTTGGTCCATTGTGTCATCTGAAGAAGTGTTTCCAGAAGACGTTCCTTGGAATCTCCAGTTAAATTTGGATTGTGAGTGATTGATGGTTTGATGCATTCATAGATTTCATCAGTAAGAGACGCCCAATTGATCCAGAGTTGACGTTGAGCCGATTCACAAAGATCCGATAGAGCGACGGCACACAAATTGACCATTTCGGGAGTCTCGATGATTTCTGGAGTGTTTTTGGATTCTCCTGGCTTACTGTAGTATCTTTGGGTATCTTCTTGAACAACGAGAATCCATCCTTTGACAATACAAACAACAGTATACAGAATTGGATTCACATTGTCGAATGCTTTGAAATATTGTCTTGGCCAATGAGCACAGAGGATAGAAGATAGGAATGATGGAATTGATTTCCCGTCTTTTTCCATTATGTGTTTAGATGAAGCATCCATCAATTCATCTGACATTACAGCAGCGAAAATTGGATTTTCTGAAAAAATTAAATTAAATGAATCAAAAAATGAGGAAAACTTACTAAGAAGAACGACCATTAAGTCTGCAATGAACTCGGTTTCTCCTTTATCGAGAGCTGTCTCGATCATGGATTTACAAACTTTTTCCCAATCATCAATGTCCATTGTATCCAAAAGTAGGTCACTTGCAAGGATGTTTCTCTTGATTTGGGATGCTGATCGATCACTTCGGATACTCAAATCACTGATCTGTTCGATAAGATCTTCCACTTCCAGAAGTTCCTCAGGTGGAATCACATCCTCGATTCTTTGAGTTGGCTTACGAGTGATTGGTTTATCTTGAGATTGAGATGGTCCAGTGCATCGATCCGATCCTTTCATTCCAATTCTTTCGTTTTGATCCGATGAGAAGCAAACCTTATTCTGATCCTGACGATGGAATCTATCACTATAAGTTCCTTGATATCTGACAGCTCCCTTTCCACGTGGTTTTGATCTCTCCTCATTGTCTTCGGATCGGAACGGTTGACGATAGTTGTTTCCATTTCCACGACGAACATCCTGATTGTCCATACGACGATAGTTCAAGGAAGAATAGCAGTTTTCCTGTCCTTGGAAAGACACACGTCCAGTAAGGCGAGACATAGTTACAGTAGTAAATTGAAAGTAGACAGGAGGTAAGAGCAGTGAACAGTGTACTCAGAAATGAGACAGAATGATTATGTGGTAGTCAGAATCGAACAAATCGACATAGAAAGTGGGCGGAGTCTACCATCTTGGTCCCTGGGAAAACGGGGGAGGTTAACATTACATCCGGATTGGATGCGCGCATGTGTCCTCTTCACATAGGTTGAGGTGAAGGGGATACAGTTGTAAAACACAGTGAGATTAGTATAATTAATTAGAGATAAGATCTAAAAAATGACAATAATATGGACAGCCGGTTGACCTCCTGGGAAAAATTCGAAATCCTACGAAAATCTAGGAGTCTAGGGATATTAGATCTAGAAGGAAGTGTTGAAATATGGAATCTGATTTTTATCTTTCGAAATCTTATCAAAAAGAAATGCCGATCAGTTTCTGTTGAGGATCTTGTAGAACCCGGAAATTTAGGCTTTGAACTGGATTTGATGTAGTCTAGAATTCTTCATAAAACTGGAAACGCATTCTTCAGATTCACTGTATAAAGCATTGTATAAAGCTTAATTTTAGAAGTTTACGATTTTCAGAATACCGTATCTCGGTTCCTATAAGAAATATTGAAAATGAGTCAACTCACAAAGTGTGCATCATATAAGATTCTGCAAGATTCTGCAAAATTATTTGGAGATAATTTCTGAATCTGTTGTGAATGATCTTTCTGAGAATTCAGATCCTCAAAGATGATTTGATCCTAGATTGCCTAAATCCGAATGCTACAGAATTCTATTTTCTGTGTTTTTTTTTCAAATATAAAAGTGTGCTCAACGGTCGTTTCCTTCTTTTTCTATTCTTGGTGACACAAATCCAGGGTCTCCTCCTCGTTTTTTCTCGTTTTGTGCCCATTCAAAATTATGTCCCCCGAGGATCATTTTCCCATTTTGTCTCCGTCTCGTTTCTCTTTGCTCCGTCCCATTTTTTCTGAAGGCGACACAAAATGGGTGACACTATCATTTTTATTGTCCCTCTCGTTTTTTTTTGTCTTTTTTGAGACCCAAAAATGTTGCAAGATTCGATGTACGAACAGTTTTATGAGCTTCTTTTTTGTAAAAATGAAAACAACGTTTCCGCTGAATTTCTAACGACTTCTTTTTTCTCTTTTTCTTTTTCTGAATTTCAAATTCCTGAAGTTATATTCAAAAGTGGCTTCTTGAGTGCCTCAAGTACTTCTTCTTCCTCCGTGTACTTTAGATGTTTTGCACTAAAAACTTGATATCAAATATTCTAGAAAGTGCAAGATCTTATAAGGAGGGCTGTAGTTGTACCTGGATTACTGTAGCTTCCCCCAAAACCAGTTTAGCATTTCCTTTTCTTTATTCTCGATTTTTGAGTGAAATGACATCACTTATGAGTCAAAAAATGTTTCCGCTTGATTTGCTCTTCCTCCTTCTTCCTAAAAAATTTGGCCCAGGTTTTTATTAGCTTCCCTAAAAACATGTTTTTTATGATTTTTCTTTTTCTTCTCCTTATTTTTTCTTTGGTTCTTAAGAAGCACCTATAGTTTTTTGTTTGCTCCGGAGCAGAAGAAACGATAAAAGGGGCTTTCTCGACGTCTTCATGTTCTTCAATAAATCATATTGACCCTTTTCCTTTTTCAACCCACCCCGTTGTCTTCTGAATTGTCATCAATGAGCAGCACTTCGGAGATTATAAACTCTCGTTTTTTTCTCAGTTTTGGTTTCTGGAGTGAGAGCTCGAATTCACGGGTATAGCGCTGGAAAACAACTACGATACCACTTGAACCGCATGGTGCACAGGTAAAGCCGGGTGACCTAACGGCGGACAACCGGCTGCGGAAGGTTTAAGAATGGGTATAACCAGAGATGTTCGGATTCCGTTAACTATTTTTTTGTCCGAGTTTCATATTCCGGATTCCGAGAAAATTCATTTTCAAAAAATGTTTATTGGCGAAAATCAACTGTCACCAGAAGTAGTGTTGAAAATTCCGCTGTAAACAATGCAAAAATGAATCATCATATACGTTTTCTAGAATTTTCCTAAGTACTTGAGGTCCGGACATCCCTGGTTCACAGGTAAAGCGGGGTAGCCCAACGGCGGATGAAGGTTGAACAATTGGCTAGAATTTGCGTCTTTAAAGGTGGGGAGACATGATAAAATAATGTTCTCCAAATTCCTTTTAAAGATGCCCCTCGAAGAGTTGAACTTGTGGGGGCGAGGATTGAGGGTGCGGCGCCGCTACCGACTAAGCCAAGCAGGCAAAGAGAAAGCTGTCGCCCGATTGCATACATAAAGGCGAGGACGACAGCTGTACGCAGAGTGACATTAAGCGTTGTACACCGTCACGGTAGAATGCATACCCTAACTCCAAAAAACCTCCGAAAAATCTCCTGTCCCCCCCACCTTTAAGCTAATGGTGAAAGTGATAAAACGTATGAAAAGTTAACATTAGCAATTGGACGATATAGAAAGAAAATATGTTTTTCGGTACAATATTAAAGAATCATCATTTTGGTTACTGTAAATGCTCTGATAGAAGCCAACCCTATAAGTGCACTTTGAGCACAATTATCTTGATTCTTGTGAGACATATGTATAAAAAATGTATCAACTGATAAATTATTCATCATTGTATTACCAATATTTTATCAATTGGCAAATTTTTGATGTCTTGCATAGCAACCGAGTTAATTGAGCTCAAAGGGTTGTAGCCCATTCATGAAGCTTCAGCCACCGTATGCCCGCCGTTGGGCCGCCCGCTTTATCTAGAAGCGGAAAGCGTATATCTAACGTTATCAATTTAAAGATGCGAGAACTGTTCCAAAAAAAACCAAAATGAACCAAAAAACTGAAGGAGTATATCTATTTGTTATTCCACAATTTCTCCATGGTTTCCCCTCTCATGGCTCATTTGACATTCCAAAACAAGCTTTCCTGCGTTCGTTTTTTTTTTCGTTGGTTGTCGTCCGGAGAAATATGTCATTTTCTACTCAACTACGGAAAAATGGAACCTGTTATTTATGGAAAAAAGAAATAAAGAGACATGAAAATAGCGGAGGTTTCTTTTTGCATTTGGAACTTTTGGATTTCTTGGGAGTTTCTTGAAAAAATAATGTAGCATTTTCTATCTAAAATTTGGCGAATTCTCAAAAAATAGAAGTTACCGTATTCAGTTTTTTAAAATCAAAATTTGTAGTTCGCTCTGCTGTTCAAAACTTATTTCTAAGAAATCAATTAAGCCGATTTTCCAAGAGCGCACATCTGTTGTAAATCTTTATCAAGTAATAGAACAAGACACCCCCACCACCACTTTTATTTTTTTTTCTTCTAAATCTTCGAAGAAGATCACTGAGAAAAACAACTAATTAGACTTATTACGAAGTAATATTCCAGGCAGAATGTCAGTTATTTTAGTCGTTCATGTAGCTGAAATTGGCCAAACTCTGGTTTCTTAGAGATTCAGAAAAAGTGAGCTTTACTAATATCGACTCTATTCTTGGAAAATTTCAGGATGGTGATTTGAAAATCCAATTCATTTCTTGCAACAAAAACTCTTGAGATCTTCCAAGAACTGTCTGAAACTGTTTTGGAACGAAAATCCAACAACTAGTCAATTTTGAAATTTTCCATTTCTTGATAGTAAAAAGTTCAAAACTAATCACTGAAATTTTAAATGGAAAGCTCTGATCTATCTCTAACCACAAGACTACAGTAAACCAATTTTTACAAAGGCTACATTAAATTTACTACAAGAGATTGGATTCAAAATTGAGCGAAAAGTATATTTCAAAACTTTTTTATTGAGAAATGCCCAGAAAAATTTCCCAATTAAAATTCATTGAAGCTCTCGTAAAGATCGGGGCCTCGAAATTTCGGCAACTACGAAATTTCTATGAATTCCAGAGTTTTCGGTTAGAGGTTCCAACCGCAATCATTTTTGAAGGGCCGATTTGAAATAAATTTTGTTCCTATCCAAACTTTCTGAATTCCAGAAAATTCCAGGGTAATCAATCAACTGTTACAGTTCTATTGAAAACCTTCAATAGAAGGGCGCCCACACTTTCAACTTTGAGCCCAATCGCGGTTCCTGTCAAAGTTATCAAAATTTTGTCAACTGATAAATTGTTATTGGTATTGTGATAAAAATTTACCAGTTGTCAGCTTTTTTATATCTTTGACAGGAATCGAGATAAATTGGCTCAAAGTTAAAGGCCTTTCTATTGCAGGTTTTACTGTCGGCTACTTCCAATTTTTTCTCAGAACTTCAAACTCGTCTCCAACAATTTCAAACTCTATCCGCATCTCACCATAACTTCCCTCATGTCCCCGCCCGATTTTCTCCAATTATCTCTTTCTCTTTCTCTGTTTCTGACATAAATCTTTTCTGACGGAGCTAAAAGACTACTTTACTCTCCCCATCTACGAACCATATGTTGTCATATTCAGTTATTTCATTTTTGAAAACTCATAAAACGGAAGAGGAAAGAATTAGCAGCAAAAGAGCTCTCTCCAACTAGCTCCGCCCACTTTTCACATCTGTTCGACATTCAGCAAATTGCTCTCTCTCTCTCTCAGAATATATAAACATGATCGTCTTCAAAGCATAACATTTTTTTCTCTAACGGAAAAAAACGTCGATTTCTATTTCTTATCCTCCACCTTCACCCCTTTTTTCCTCATCAAAACAATCCAATTTCGGCGCATCTCTTTCTCTTCTTTTGCTCCAGAAAAAGGGGCGTGGCCTAATTTCTTTTCCTCTCTCGTCCCTCCCTCTTCCTCCGATTAACCCCGCCCATGTTTCCAGAGATTCTTCTACTATTCCTCCTATTTCTATTCTCGTTTTCTTCAGAATCCTGCCTGCCACGTGGCATTGCTCCATGTTGAGTGGATGCAGTACATCTTCCTCCTCTTTTTCTTCTTCCTCGTCACGGCTTCTTTGGCTTCCATTGTGACAGAAACATGTTATCCGGACACGTGAGTCTCTACTCTTTTTTGAAGATTTGCCGGACAAAGAATTTTGGGTGTTGGGTGAAATTAGATTAGAAAAAGAAGGAAATACCATGTCTAGAATCTTTGAAAGTTCAAGATTTCCATAGTTTTTGAGATCATGAAATGTTTAAAATTGTTTAAATCATTTTCAACTCAATGTTTCAAATTTGGCTTGTTGAGGGCTTCAAAATAAGTATAAACATGACCTATATTGCTTGTTTTTCAATTTTTCCAGGGTCCATGCGCTTTCAAGTTTGGGTTACTGTACCTATCCTCAATCCTTGCCGTGTTTATACTCTTTTTAAAGCGCTAAAGGCTACAAATCGGGAAAACTTGGTTTCAATTCATTTGGGTCAAAACTAGGACGGGAAACATTAGATTCGGTTCTCAAAAAATTCTCAAAAAGTCAACTTTGATAGATTTCGATAATTTCATATACCTATGGATTCCGAGTAAAAACTATAGAATTCTGAAGTTTCCCGAGTTTCAAAAATTCAATTTATTCGATTCTCAAAATCAAAATTTGTGAGATTTTGTAAATTTTTAAATGATCTATAGGTTCTAAAAACACCCGAGGAATTCCGGAACTTCAAAAATTCGAAAAAAAATTGTACACAACCAAAAAAAATTTTGATGTCTTTTCCAATTTTAAGATCGCACTAGAACAGTTTCACTAAATTTACAATAGACATGGTATATTCAATTTTTTGGGTCAGAATTCCATCCTTGAACCAGTTCCATCTAGCCTAGAAACCGCCGTTTGCCTTTTTCTAGGCCATATCAAAATTTTCTGAATGACGCAGCAAAAAAGCAACATCTACCACCGGAACCGTCTTTCTTTCCGTTTCCGTTTCCCTTTTTTTTGCTGCTAAAACATGAAATAATTGGAAACCTAATCTTTCTTTTTAGAGGAGAAGAAGATGCACTTCTTCTTCTAATTTGCTCTTCTTTCTCTTTTTCTGCTCCAGGAATTGAATTCTGAATTGAAAAACGTATAACGAGCTCAATATGATAATTGATGGGTCGTGGGGATTCAGATGAGCAGAACCATGTGTAAATGACAAATTGAAGGGGATGGATGGATGATAGTGTGACATGGACACCAACTACTTATTTTCGTATTTTCCGCTCCGCTATTCGTAAAACCATCTATTATGTATTAAAATGGAAAAGAGACTCTTCTTCTTCTTCTTCTTTTTTTCTCGGTTCTTCTCTCAAGAGATAGAAGAAGGAGGAGAAGAAGATTCTGATGTTTTTGATGAATGATTCTATCTTTATACATCTGAAAATAACAAAACAAATTGGGTCAGAGATGAGAGAAAGATCTGCTGAAGCAGAAACTGAAATTTTCATTGAATTTGGAAAACGAAACTTTTGAAACCATGAAAATTGAAAATTCAATAAAGAAACAATGGAATTCGAATTCTTTTTTTTTGGAAAATCCAGAATCGAATTAACTTTGTTAGAAAGTGCGCTCCAGTGAACTTATAATCTGATTTTGAATTTTGGAAAAGATGGCCTTTTAGAAAATCGGATTTTGTACAAATTTGGAAAAACGAAAATGTGGTTTTTTGTAGGGTTTAGGATTCTAAGTTTAGGATTCAAGCTAGATTCTAGGAAAATCTAAAAATTCTAATATTTCAACATTCTAAGGTTCCGAGATTCTGAAACTCGGACATTCGGAATTTTCTGGAAATTTCAGACATTGGCGAATATTGGGTTACCGGATTTTTGAAATTAAACATTTTTTGAATTATAAAAAGAATTTTCGGATTTCTGAATTTTTGAAAGTTCTAAATTTCTGAGAATTTATGATTCTTAGAATCCTAGGATCCCAGAATCCCAGAATCTCAGAATCTCGGAGTCTCAGAATTTCAGAATTTCAGAATTTCAGAATCTCAGAATCTCAGAATCTCAGAATCTCAGAGTCTCAGAATACGAGAATCCGAGAATCCGAGAATCCGAGAATCTCAGAATCTCAGAATCTTAGAGTCTTACAACTATTAGTATCCTAGAATCCAAGATTCCCAGAATCCCAGAACTGTAGAATCTGAGAATCTCAGAATCTGAAAACCTCAGAATCTTAAAATCTCAAAATCACAATATCTCAAAACTTCAGATTGTTAGAGTCTAGGAATCTGTGAGAATCACAAAATGGAGATCTTTCACGAATTCCAATAGAGCTTACTCTCTGAATCAAAGATTTCCGAATCTCGCAAGCTCGATCAATTATCGAAACTACAGTACTCCTTGCCCAGATTTCTTCAATAATTCACATTGACATTCCGTTCTTTTCTCTATTCAAAAACAGAGCCTTTTCCTTTCTTTTTTGGGCCCAAAGTGTTTCCTGAAAAAGTAGGAGCACCCAACCCATCGAAAACTTTCGTACCTCCTCCCGTTCCACGACTACTACGTCTTCTGGAGGGTAGATCAAAAAACAAAATAATTGAGAGAAAAAAAGAAAATGTGCAGTACGAAAACACAGAGAATGTTGCATATTTAAACATATGGAATAGAAGGGGAAAACAGGAAGAAAATGTGTGTCATTTACACACATAAATCAGCTGAAATTCCTGTATATAACAAGGCTAATCTTTTTGATTCTTTCCCCTTCTTCTTCTTCTTTTTTTCCACGTCTTCTAAAATAGAGGAGGGAAAATACGAAAAGGCTCTGCTCGATTTTCCAATTAATTGGAGACCTTCTCTTGATGAAAGATGAGCAGCACAACGTCTTCTGAAAGAGGAGGATTAACTCGGAAAAGTCATCCCACCCACGGGATGGGAAACAGAAAGACGACGTTTCACTCTCCCAGATTGAAAAAAAAACGAAACGAGACAGATTTCAATCAGATGAATGAGATGGGAAGGAAAGGTTAAAATGGGAGCTTGAAAAGAGATGAAGAGAGGGATTCAGGGATTTTCGAGAATCCTTTTTGACTCTTTAAATTTTAGGAAATAATTTTTGGATACTCAAAAATGCTGGAATTATGGTTTTTGATTTTTGAATCTTGTGAAACATGGCTATATATTTGGAAAATTGAAGTTAAAATCAAGAAGCGAAATTTGAAAATTGAAAATCCTGAAAACTTTTTTGATTTGAAAGTACTTTTTGTACACAATTTGAAAATCGGATAGATTCTAAATATCGAATTCATTGTGTTGGAACATGTTGCTTTTTAGAACTTTTGAAATTTAAAAAAAAACTGAAAATCCCAAATATCCAAAATTCTTGTTTCAATATTGTCAATTCCGACTTTACGACTCTCACTATTCGAAAAAAGTTTCCAAATATCTTAATTTTATAATTCCAGATTCTCAAGAATCTCAGAATCTCAGAATCTCAGAATCTCAGAATCCCAGAATCCCAGAATCCCTGACCCCAGAATCTCAGAACCTCAGAACCTCAGAATCTCAGAATCTCAGAATCTCAGAATCTAAGAATCTCAGAATCTCAGAATCTCAGAATCTCAGAATCTCAGAATCTAAGAATCTAAGAATCTAAGATTCTCAGAATCTCAGAATCTGAGCATCCCCATATCTGAGAATTTCAGAATCTGAGAATCTCAAAATCTGAGAATCTCAAAATCTTGGAATTTCAGAATCTCAGAATCTCGGAATCACAGGATTTCAGAATGTCAAAATCTCAGAATTTGAGCATCCCCATATCTGAGAATTTCAGAATCTCAAAATCTTGGAATTTCAGAATCTCAGAATCCTAGATTCTCAAAGCTTATACCCTGCCAGTTAGGTTTGAAGATACTTCAACTTCATTTTTTTCACATCTGAACTTCTTTTAAATTTTTGATTTTCCAAGCCAGAAAACATCCAAAACTTTTACTCTGTGCCCTGATTCGTACTCTGTTTTCTTGTTGACTGACCATCACCACCCACCAAAATAATATTTCCCTAACTTCCTTTTCCGTTTCCAAAACTTTTCTCACTCAAAACTCATATGTGATTGGGTCTCTTCTTCTTCTTTTCTCCACCACCTCGAATCGTCCTGCAAATTGAATTTGGGAGCTTCCCCCCCCCCCCCCCCCCCTCCCAAATGCGGAGACTTACTTACTTGGAGGCCAAGTATGAGAAAATGGGGGTCAGAAATATGGGTCAGATGAGACATTTTGAACATTTCTTTGTAAAAATTAAAACTTTGTGGATCCGAGCAAGGGATGTGAGGAACGCAACACTAGAAGAAGCCTTTTCAAACTATCAGCTTTGAACTCAATTAAATATTTCCGTTTCTGTAAAATATATCAAAAATATGTCCACTGATAAAATATTTATCACAATATCACCATAATTTTTTTCAGTTCATAGATTTCTAATATCTTTAACAAGAATCAAGATAATTGAGCTCAAAGTTGTCGGTTTGGGTGGGCTTTTACTATAGAAAATACGGTAGTCAAGTTTGAAGTCCTACAAAAGTTATCCGAAAAATTTCAATTTGTCTGAAAATTATGGAGTATACTAAACAAAAATAGAGCTTCAGTTTCATAATTGACATTTTCTTTGTATAAGTCCAACAAATCGAGATAATCGGTTTTAAAGTGACGCAATTCTCCTTTCAGTTCTTTTTTTCGCACTTTTTTGGTTCCAAGCGGCATATCTCACCAAGATGGAATTCGGCGGAAAATTTATCAATCACAAATTTGAAGATCTATTTTTGTTTAGTACAGTCGGAACTTTAAAAAAACTGAAAAATTCTGGAATACTTTTCAGGACTTCAAATTTGGCTACCGTATTGCCTGTAATAGAAGCCAATCCAAACCGTCAAGCTCGAGCTCAGTTATCTCGATTCCTATGAGAGATATCCAAAAGTGGTTAACTGATAAAATATTGGTCATGTTATGATAAACAATTTATCAGTTGACAAGTTTTTGATACTTTTTACTGGAATCGAGATAATTGAACTCAAACTGAGGTGGGCTTCTATGAGAGCAAGTCGAAGCTAGCTATTTTTTTCTAAACTTCAAAACGGTAAAAAAGTTCGCTTCAAAGTTTATAAAAATTCTCGATTCTGCTTTTAATAAAAATCTACGAGAAGAATGGGTTTTTTTGGCTCAAAAATTGAATTTTTGAAAACTGTTGGCTCCGCCCTTTAGCCAGTAAAACCAGCCAAACAATCTACTTCCTTCCAAAATTGGGACTTCCATTCGTCGGTTTTCTTTTTTTTCGGCCTTATTCTATTTCTCACTTACTCCGGAAGGCGCCAAAAAATGGAGGGTAATTTGGGAGAAGAAGAAGAAGCTTCTGTGTTAGAGACTCCCTAGAGGGATCAACTGGAATGGATAGAAGAAGAAGAAGAATGGAAAAAGGAAGGGAATGGATAAAAAATGAAGAAAAAATGGTGTTGATGGGGGCAAGAGAATGGGGAGAGAAATTGGAAAAAAGAGGTGATGATTGACTGGGTTTTAGGAAAAATGGAAAATCAGAGGAAGACGTTTTTGGGGAGACTGGGGGATAAGAAAAGTAGGGAACCAGAAGAAGAGCTGGAATTGAAGAATCTGACAATCTGAAAATGTGAAATCTGGAAATGGTAGTAACTCTGAATCTCGATGTTAAGCTTAAATATTCTCAAGAATTTTCAAAATTCTCAATTTATTTTTTAAAATTTAAGTGAGGAAAAATATTGAACTTCTCGCGGAAGGGTTCAGAAAAAAATCTAATTTCAAAAAATGGGAAACGCGCTCCACTGAAAAAATGGTCGAAAAATTCATTTTTGAGCGAGAAATGTGAATTGCTGGGTGAAAAATCTACAAAATTGAGTTTTTGAGCCATTTTTATCAGTCAAACTTAGATTTTTTTTCAAAAAATGTTTTCTTGTGTAAATCTGAAAATGCGATCTATTGAGAAAATTTTTTTGAAAAATTCATTTTTGAGCGAGAAATACAAATTGCCGAGTAAAAATCGAAGAGATCGACTTTTCGAGAATTTTCTTGAAAATCTAGAATCTCCAAATCAAACTTTTTTATAAAAAATATCAAGTTTCTGAAAACCAAAAAAAAAATTTTTCGATATTTTCAGATGCGCCGATCCCGAAATGGACACATTCTTCTCGTATGGAACGTGCTGTGATAACGAGTGTTGCTATCGTCTCAGATATTGGGTCTAGTAAGTTCTTTCCTTTTGGGGGGTTTTTATTAATTCAAACATTTTCAGTCCCGCCAGTATAGCAGGCATAGGATTCGTGGCTGGCGCATTCTTCGCCCTTTGCTTTCAATGTCGCTGAACTCGTCGGGAATCCCTCTTTCTTCAACTTCTCACATATTTCATATCAATTAATTAAAAAATTTTCTTTGGATTTTCATATTTTTATGTTCATGAAAAAACGTTTTTTGGGAAAAAAATAAAATAGAATAAATGATTTGATTTGGATGAAAAATGTGTGTGTGGAGAAGCATATAAGAAACACTTCTAAAGGGAGAGATGGTGCAAAAAATGTACACAGGTTGTTGGAAAAGGGGGAAAAACAAAATATAAAATAACAAGGATATATCGATGGGCGGAGCCTATTGGGGTGGGAGAGGACAGAGAACATATTGTTTTTGCAGACAAAAAGATCGGATCACAGATTCGAAACGAGGAGGATTGAGAGGAGAAAAAGAACTAACCAAATTTCTAAAAGTTTACAAAATAAAGAAGATCCCTGAAAAGGTTGTGGGGTGTGTTTCGAGTCTAAAATCAGTTCTAATAGAACACATTATAAAAATCACTAGTCGTTTTTGTTTTCTGCTCGTAAACCATATACTATAGAAAAACTTTTTGGTTTGGGGGGGCTCTCACAGAAGAATTGGGGGGATTGAGGTATTTTTGATGGGAGATGAGAATTAGAAGAATTGGAAAAAAGAATCTCAACGGACAGAAGAATTTGAGAAAAGAATTGGGAACAGCAGCAAACACGTTTTGGTATGGATCAAAGAACCCGGGGACAGCTCCAGAATCCCACTGCCACGTGGCGAAATCAAGTCTAGAACAAGATCTCATAACTATGACGTGGGGTGGGGAGAGAGAGAAGAGGGGCTCGAGATTTCTATTATCACATTTTCAGAAGAATTGAATGAGAAATTTATATATTACTTTTGGACTATATACGCATTTTTTGAGGAGACTGGAAAAATTGAATAATTTGTTGTGTGGAGGAACCGTATCATTTTGATGAGGAGAGGGGGCCGAGTGGGACTAGGAAATTATTAGAAACAACGAAGAAAAACTGATATGCAACGGCAAGCTGGTCTGGCGTGAGAAGAGAAAAAGATAATCAACAAAATGAACAACAACTGAATGAATTCCTTTTTTGTACAGAGTTTTGTGCAATTCAATCTGAGCATATGGCGAGAAAGATGGCGGTGATGATGACTTAGAAGGCATTTGATCTGAAAATTTGGGAAAAATGAAATATTGAAAAAATCAAATTTAACTGAAATGTACTTCACAAAACTGAAAACAGAAAGCTATGTTAGATGACCGAAACTCGTGTATTTGCTCGTCAAGATGCCAGAGTGTCGTAAAGTAAAATTCACCGTACGCAAACACCTTGACGCGCAAATGCACGAATTCAGGCCGCTGCCGATTTTTGTCATTTTCTAACCTATTTTTAAAGGGGGACTCCGACCAAAAAATTTTTATTGCATTAAAATGTTCGAAAAGTTGTCTATTTTCCCACTATTATAGCGACAAATTCGAAAAAAAAATCCGAAATCCCCGAAAAATGCCGTTAAAAGCGAAAAATTTTCAAAAAAAAGTTGCTAGGAGGGACGAGGATTTGAATTCCCGCGCAGTAAGAAACCTAGGCCACGGCGCCTGACAGCCGTTTTTTCAAGTGGCCGACAGTGGTTTTTTACGTTTTTTACCTGCCGGACTTGAAAACCGAAAAAATTCGGAAAAATTTCCGTGTAAGAAAGGCGCTATGATGCCGTGGCCTAAGTTTTTCACTGCGCGGCAATTCAAATCCTATTTTTTTAACGTCGTTTTTCAGGGATTTAGGATTTTTAAAGAATTTTTTCGCAATAATATTTGGAAAATACATATTTTTTGTGACATTTTAAGGTAAAAATTTTTGATCGGAGTCCCCCTTCAAAGTTAAAAACAAACAAAATGATAGTAGAAAAGCATGCAACACACAAAAAGAGAAACTGAAAGCACTACCTCACTCCGATTCACTCTCTACTCACAAATTAAGATTGTCGTAGAAGAAATCGTTGCCGACGCCAAACGCCGCGTCCATACCGCCGTTTGTCTGATTTTGTTGCATGTATTGATTTACTTGTTCTTCCTGAAAACAATTGAAATTTTAGAAAAGATCACAATTTTCAAATTTCTAGATGCTTACCCAAGCGTTCAGATAGTCCGTTAACGAAGAGAGTCCAGGCCTGGATAATCGTTCGTGCACAACGTTTTGTAGATCATCATAGAGATAGGCATCCAAATCGATCGCTGTTCGATCCACCGTCACATTTCCAGATGGATAAGTGATAGGGACGACCAATCGAAGAGGTGGCACTGGCTGGTTTCTCATTTTGGCCGAAACGATAATGTGGTTTGCATCGTGTCTCTGATGGTTTGGTTCGATCTCGAATCTTCCTTCCATTGCCTGCAGCTCCTTTCTCGCCGCGTCATTCAGATTCACTCTTGGTCCTCCACCCATGGAGCTTCCTGGTCCAATGTGGAGTGTTGGCTGAAGAGCGTCGATTGGATTTGGCAAGAAGTCATCATAAGTGAAGTCGTCGAGATTCGAAAGTCCACCGATTGATCCAGGTGCTCCCATTTTCGGTGTTCCCATTGTATTCAGCGATGGTGCACCTGAACTTGGTCCTGACATACTTCCACTCATCGAGTTCCGGTCTCTTCCAATTGGTCCTGGTCCGTTTTGCATTCCTCTCATGTTGTTTCTCATCGCTGCTGGACTTGGATATGGATTGTGTCGATGGCTGTTGACTGGAGAGTTCATCTCGTGTCCCATATCCCCTCGATACATCGGTCCTCCATGCATCGGTCCTCCACCACCCATCATCATCGGATCGGTAGGCATCATTCGTTGTTGCTGTGGTTGCTGCCACATTTGTTGCTGATGCATTTGCATATGATGTGGTGGTGGTGGTCCACCCATTCCATACTGTCCATGGTTGTATCCTGGATGTCCATATGGATTATGTACCTGTCCATTACTCATCATTCCATGATCACCATTCATCACCGGATCATTCATTCCCATATGTCCCGGATTTCCTCCTCCCATTGGATTGATATTCAAGAAGTCTTGTTTTCTAGCAATCCACGTCTCCAGATGATTCAAATATTCCAGACTAACAACTCGTCTTCCTTCCAAAACACTCAACATCACTTCCAATTTATGAGCAGCTTCATGATTTCCTTCTTGCCTACATTGCCTTGCTCTCGTTCTCAAACTATCACAACTTCCACGCATGTTTCTCAACTTCATCTGATACACGTTCTGATCCTCGATACTCATCACTCCCTGATTCACCGGCATCGCTCCAGGTCGCTGTGGTGCACCTGGAACTCCTCCTGGATTGCCTGGTACTCCCGCACGTCCTCCTGCCGCATTTCTATCCCCTCCCGGTGGCGCCATTTGATTGTGATGACCTGGATATTGTTGTGGCTGATTGATAAGCGACTCGAGGACTGATGACGTTCCAGTCGGTGTGGTTTGCTGTCCATTCATCGGTCGGTTCGGGTAACCTCCGTGGCCTTGCTGTGGCGGCATACCTCCCCACGGTTGTTGTTGTTGGTACATATGACCTTGAGGATCCCATGGCCCACGAGATTGATCCATCTGTAAAAACGAATACTCGTTTTCTTTATCAATTGATAAATTAAACTGTTTACCTCCTTCTTCATTGGCTGACCGTACGGGTTGCCTCCCATTGGTCCACCAGCACCCGGCGGTCCATTCATCATACCGTATCCACCGTATCCACCCGGTCCGTTCATTCCCATATTTGGAGCGCCCATCTGTGGTGGTGGTTGTCCCATTGGTGGTCCGCCGGCACCTCCATTCATTGTTGGAGCTCCTGGCTGTGCACCAGCTCCGTTTGGGAATGGTGCATTTGGAGTCGTTGAACCTGGTGCACCAGAAGATGGCTGAGATCCAGGAGTAGTCTGTCCTCCAGGGGCGGCACGAAGAGCAGCGGAATCCGGGGATGGGAAAGATGCGACAGCAGCAGCAACTGCTGCAGAAGCAGATACAGTTCCAGTGACCGCAGGAGCCGAAGGAGTAGTAGATGCTTGTGTAGTAGCAGTGGTAACTGGTGGATTCCGAGCTTGTGCAGATGTCGGTTGAGGGTCCGGAGGTACAGGCGCTCGATAGCCAGGCGTACCCACACCTGTTCCAAGCACTGCTGTCGTACATGGTGGACTATGGAATTGTGATGGTTGGAGGACGGAAGGTACGGCGGCCGATTTGCTATTACAATTGATGGCGTTGATCACCTTCGCAATCGTCCTCATATATTCATCTTTTGACATACACTTTGCGAACACGTACTCTTCGACTTGCCGTGCATCGCCAGGCACCGGAAGGTTCGGCGCATTCTGACGATTCCGCGCCAACTCGGGTTCACTGAAAATTCATTAATTCATTTGAATGCGATGCCAAATCAACTCACAGTCTCTGAATGACATGCTCGCGGAATTTGGGCGAAGGCCAGTCCTCTTCGCTCATCTTCCGTACCTCTTTTTGAGCGAACGGAGCTTTTCCAAGCGAATCAACTACCGACGACGTCAACGTGGTAGCGGTGGGGTGTTGTTCTCGAAACGATCAACACACTCGACAAAAAAAAACAAAAACGAAATGTTCGATTCCCTGCAAAATGTTTTTTTAGATGCACTTACATATCTAAATATCCATTGCTATAGACCAACCTGTTCAAAATGCCGTCCTCTCCAAAAAACGGCACACAATCACACTGTTTCGATTCGTTCCCCAAATTATCCTGTAAATTATTAATTAGGTCAAATAAGATAGAAAAAAATCAATAGAAAAATAGATAAGATACGGTGGACGTGCCGGAGCAACGTTTAGTAACATTATAAAGAGAAATGGAATAAAGAAAGAGGTTGAAACTTTATTAGGCATTTACAGAATGTTAAGTGCAGCTAGGTGTGCTGCTAGAGTTCCAGCGGACACAGGAGCCGAAGGAGCAGCAAATTCCTGCGCTGTTTTTTTTAAATTCCTGCGCTGGAGGATGGCGGGTACGTCGGCGGCTGTCATAGGGGTAGATCCCTCGGCTGGTTTCCTTGCCAAATTGATTCCGTTGATGATCTTCGCAATCGTCCACATGTATTCATCTTTCGTCGGACACTGTGCGAAGACGTCCTCTTCGACCTCCCGTGCATTGCCAGGCAACGGAAAATTCGACACATTCTGACTGTTCTTTTCCATCTCAGCTTCACTGAAAATTTATAAATTCTTTATTGATGCGTTATAGAACAACTCACAGTCTTTGAATGATAAGCTCGCGAAATCGGGATGAAGGCCAGTCCTGTTCACTCCTGGAAATTATTAATTAGGTCAAATAGGAGAGAAAAAGTCAATATAAAAATATATAAGATACTGAGGACGTGCCGGAGCAACGTTTAGAAATATAACAAGTAGTGATTTTCAAAAGTTTTAATTTTGGGAAAAATATTCAGAAAGTGTTAATATTTCTGTTATATTTGTTGAAAAAACACGTTGCTCCCAAAAAGTTAACGGTCCATCTTTTGGGAGATCCGAAAGATTCACGTGGCTCACAAAAATTTTTGAAATTTCAGTACTTTGATGTTAAAATTAAAACTTTTGAAATTCACTACTTGTTATATGATGCAGGAAAATGGAATATAATGAATTAACAGATTTAAACTTTCTTAAGTATTTACAGAAAATAGAGGTTAGTATATAAATGAGATACATTTTCTGGACCAGATCTGATATTATCCTGAAGCGCGGCCCGTTTAGAACATTTTCAGAATGAAGGTTAATATTGTTTTGTAATGTTTTGAAGAAAAAGAGGAAGTAGTCATTTTCTTACTGATTCGATGATGGAGAATGGCTTTCTTATAGCGCTGATCACCTTCTCAATCGTCCTTAGGTATTCATCTTTTGACATGGCCTTTACGAAGACGTACTCTTCGATCTGCCATGCATTGCCAGGCAACGGTAAATTCGACACATTCTGACTGTTCCTTTCCATCTCAGCTTCACTGAAAGTTTGTATTTATTTTTTTTTGAATTCGGTGTCAAACAACTTACAGTCTCCGAATGACACGCTCGCGGAATCGGGGCCAGTCTTCTAAATCCATCTTCAGAACTATCCTGGAAATTATTAATTAGGTCAAATAAGAGAGAAAAAAGAAATTCAGAGAAATAGATAAGATACGAAGGACGTACCGGAGCAACGCTTAGAAACATCATAGAGTGAAATTGAATATAATCACAGGGTGCAACTTTTATTATGCATTCACAGAATGTTAAATTAATTAAGTGAGGGTGTTGGTATATAAATAAAGTACATTTGTCTAGACCAGATCCTGATATTATCACTGGGTGCGTTATAACTCGTGAAGAAAAATCTCGGAATGCAAAAGAATCACGGAATGCAGATTTGAATACTTCGATTATGGTTTTGGGTTTGGTTCGAAAAAGAAGAAGAAGAAGCCATTTTCTTATTCTTTTTTATCCGACTCCTTTTCATTTTTCTTCTCATCCTCTTGGTCTTGCTCAGAAGCCGAAGAGCGAACACAGAACGAGAAGAAGCGGACGACACGACGCCAGGCGTTCTTGACACTGCAACGATGCTCGACGACGCTGATGGTCACAGTTGGCTCGACGCCAGGAATCGGCTTTTCTCTCATTGCGATGTGTGGCTTTGGAGATGGCTGCTGTCCAAGCAGTTTGATGCGCTCGTCTACCTTGGCCAGATAGTCATCCTTTCCATCGGCGGCATCGAAGGCTTGTTGCTCAGATTGCTGTGGGGTTAAAGTTTGAGCGACTCCAGATTTGGCATACTCAGTTTCGCTGGAAAAGATTTTGAATAATTCGTTCGTTTATGATATTTCTTACAGTTTGTGGACGATTTCCTTACGAAAGGAATTCGACGGAAAGTCCGTCTCGTCTTTTTTCGGCACCTCCTCTTTTTCTCCTTCAACTGATCCTTGCCTATTCTGATAGCTGAGCGAGATGAACACCTTCTTCATTGATGCCACGTATTGCTCCTTGGTCGTCGCCTTCTCGAAAACGTACACCTCGACCTTGTTCGGATCAGTTGGCACTGGCAAGTTTGGCTGGTTTAGACGCGTTTTGGTAAGTTCCGGCTCACTAAAACCGATATTTTCTTTTCTATTTATTTCTAGCAGGGTTTCTGAGGAGCTTAGCCAAAAAAGCTCGGAATTTTGAACTTTAAAAAAACTCACAGTCTGCGCACCACCTCCTGACGAAAAGTGTCCGATGGCCAATCGTCCTCACCGCTCAGGTTAATATCATCTGGAAATATTTTTTTTACGTCAGGAATCAAATTTCAAAAATAAACTCACCGATTCCTACAATTTCCTCCTCCATTTCGGTCTCTTCGCCGGGGGTTTCGGTTTTTCCCTAAAAACAAAAAAAAATAGATCTTAAAAGAATTCGGAAAAATAGATGAATAGATATCAAAACGTGCTTCGAGCAACATAGGGGATAAGGATAAGAGAGGGCGGGGCTCAGATAAATAAGTTTATTGGGTTTCGAACGACGAAAAAACAGGTTCTGGAATTATGCTCCTTATTTCAGATACAACGTCTCATCCTGACGTTTCTTCGAAGTGATCTGTCCTGGCTTCGCGCGGGCTGCTTCGTGATTAGCGAGTTCCGGTGGGCATGATGAGATGGGCGACTCGAGGAGACACTGAAAAAAATTGAAAATTAAAAGTTTGAAAAGGATTGGGGCTTTGTAAACGCGCTCTAACGCGAATATCTGTAATACTACAGTGAAACTAGCGATGGTCTCGACGCGAAAGCGTCTAATTGAATTGCTGAGGAGCTAATTGGGGGTACGACGAATTCGAACGTTTTCAAAATCGAACAGACCTAAAATCGAACTGATTCAATTCAGAACAGTCCTTTTTTCGCACACGTACCAGAACAGAACGCGGACAGAATCGAACTGTTACAAGTTCGAACTGGTAAGGAGTCGAACTGTCCCAAATTGGAACGCTGTTTTGTGTGTGCTTTCATGCGCGCTCTGTTTTTGAAAACGTTCGAATTCGTCGTACCCCCAGCTAATTAGCATAGATGCAGCACATAATTATTTTGTGAAAAGTTCCTGAAAAAAAAAAACACCATGAAAGTCCATTTTCTTTGCCCTTTTTTCTTTTCGTTTTTTCAAGAACCAGCTCAAGTGTATGGCGCTGCAAAAGAAGAAAAAAAAAGAAGGAAATTAGGCAATAGACATGTGTGAAGTGGGGTTTGAAGAAGAGAGAAATTCGGTTAGAAGCAGCGCGAGAAAAGTAAACCCAATTATTCTTGGATATGTATTACCTGCTTCAAGTCGTAATACACTGCCGTGTCATCTGCCGTGAGGAAGGTGATTGCTTTTCCATGTTTGCCGGCTCGACCTGAAAAATGAAAAAAATAGAAATTATTGAATATTGATTGATTTTGGGGGGAATACCAAAACTACTAAACACTGATTAAAAGTGTGTGTAGGGAAGGCAATAACAATGAGAAGAAGAAGATATGAGCTGAGAAGAGCAACTGGAAACAACGTTTTCCAGGCGTAGAGAGGGATAGGTGGTCGAAGAAGAAGAAGAAAAAAAGAAAAAAAAAGAAGAACAAGAAAAATGTGAGAAGAAGAAAATGATTGATAATACCGTAGACGGGCACACAAGTTAATGATGGGTGGCGAGAAAGTACGGGAAATGAAGAGACGCCAGAGTTTCGCGCTTATCGATGAAGGAAATTTGCTGTGTTATCACTAGGAGGAGAAATAAGAAGAAGAACATTTTCTTCTACAGAAACGTTTCGTTCTGACCGTATCTTCGCATCGAATCTGTTAGAGTAACCTTTCGAGTGAGAGAGAGAGAGAGAGAGAGAGAGAGAGAGAGAGAGAGAGAGAGAGAGAGAGAGAGGGAGAGAGAGATGAGAGTAGGAAGAGACGCAGACAATGAGGAGAAGGTCATAATAATTGAATAAGTCATGAAAAAAACGATAAAGCGACACTTTTTGTTGTCAACACATCTGTGTTACAACTGCTATGATGATGATTGAGGCACCAGGAGCAGAATGTGTAGAGTGAGAGAGAGAGAGAGAGAGAGAGAGAGAGAGCCCCAATAAATCAAATAGAGGGAGAGATAGAGAAGAGAATAAAATAAAACATTGATTTGGGATCTTTTCGGAACGGATCGGATATTTTCGAGTTTCAAGATGTACTGTACTTCTTCAACTTTGAGCTCAATTATCTCCGAATTCCAAAAAGAAGACTTCTCTAGCAACCTCTAATAAACCGACACGCACACTCTGCGCCGAAGATACTGTATTTTCTCTAGTAGAAGTTCACCCAAACCGTAAATTTTGAGCTCAATTATCTTGATTCCTGTGAAAGATATGAAACATTTGTCAACTGATAAAACGTTGCTCATAATATTACCAATATTTTACCAGGTGGCACATTTTTGATATCTTACACAGGAATCGAGGTAATTGAGCTCAACGTTGACAGTTCAAGTGGGCAATAGAGCGAATACGGTAATTTTAGATATCTAAAAAATCTGGATTTTCAAAGAAACTTTTTTTGAGTTTTTAAAGTATCAAACTGAGTACCTCAAATCCATTCAAAAAGTAGGTTTAATTCCTCTACAAATCGTCGTCACACACAGATTTGAACCGATTTTCGAATCAAAAAATATCGACCTGGGGGAGAGAGATTGAAAATTGTAAATCGTTTTATAATATTTTTCCTGCCTGTGTATTTTCACTGTTGCCTCTTCTCTTCTCTAAAAAACCAGCGCCAGTAATCGTGTGAGTGAGTGGAAGAGAGAAAAATCGCTTTTTGTGTTGTGGTGGTAAATACCCCGAAGAGAGGCGGCGAGATAGCGCGCGAATCGCGGAGAAATAGACACGCAAAAACAGTTTGAGGTAAAAGGAATAAGAAGGAGAAGAGGAAGAAGAGGAAGACGGAATGAGGGGTAGGTCAAGATGCGTACAACAATTTCGGATTACGGTCAGAAGGAAGAAGAAGAGGGAATAAAAAGAAATATAAAACAAGTTGAAAGTTGAATGATGAAAGTGTGGACTGGAGAAGAGAGAAGGAGAAAGTGACGACCTCGAGCAAAGAGAAAAAGAAGTAAAGAAACACATCTCTTCTTCTTCTTCTCCTATTCCAAACTGTCGATTGCATTGGGAGAAGAGAAGGAATAGAGAAGAGCACATGGCTACTGCACAGGTGGCGTCCATCACTTGGCTTCTTTTTCTCTAACTTTGAAAAAAAGAAGCCACGTTCCAATGGGAGCCAATTTTGTGCCACAGAAAATCGCCCGACTATGTTTATGCTTCGATTCCGGTGTCAGCTGTCCGGTTTTACGGAGAAAGAGCCGAAAAAGGACTGCGGGAAAAGTTTCATGAGCGAGAAGAGTGCAGAGATTCCTCGATGTGTTTGTTTAAAATGGATGGTTGGAGAAGAGGAAGAAGAAGAGGAGAAATATGAAAAAGGAGTACACTTTTATAGATTGTCATTAAATATTTGTTGGGGAATGTAAAATGATTCTTTGAAAGTCGTTCAATGATAACTGACTGGAGAAGGCCGGAAGTTGTTGAAAAATCCAAAAAAATATGGCCTTGCCCAGCTTCAATTCGGGAACATGATTGTCACTAAAAAATATTTTATCCGATTCCGAGAAAAATTGAGATTTTCTAAATTGAAATTACCGTAAAACCTGTAATAGAAGGGTCCCCATCGCCAAGTTTAAGATCAATTATCTTGGCTTTTATGCAAGATAACAAAAAGTTGTCAACTGATAAAATACTCTTAGTATTATGATTTTGTCAGTTGACCACTTTTAGATATCTTTCACAGGAAATGAAGTATATGGGCTCAAAGTTGGCGGTTTCAGTGGCCTTCTTTTAGAGTCTTCCATACTTTTTAAAGATTCTGTGTAATACACCGCACGCGATATCGCGTACATTTCACTACAGTAACCCGCCAAAACTGTTTAACTCCTCAAAATCGATTTCTATTCCACCTTTTCCTTTCCACTGCTTATCAGCGAATTTCCCTCTTCACCAATCATTAAGTCGTTCTGATGATCTTTCTTCTCTTCCAAAACGCTTTTGGCACATTTTGATACTTCGATCAACGCACACAGATAAACCACGCGTGGCGATGGAGGTATGCTGCTGCTACGGAAATCATTTGATTTGATCAAACTATCGGAAGAAGAATAAGTGAGGTCGTCGAGAGATAGAGAAAGATCAAGAGGAGCGAGAGATGCAGACAAATTCGACAGGGCAGAAAATCTATAGGAAAATAGGGAGATATGGCTGGGGGCAGCAGCAGGAACATTGTTAAAACTCCCGACCGATTTTTGCGAGAGAGACGGGGTAAATACAATAGCCGGTTCGGGTAGGTCGCAAATCGAAATTGGCGAGAAAAAGAAGAAGAAGAAACAACCGAAAAGACAAATAGGAAGAAGAAGAAGAAGAAACACGGTATAGGAAGATGAAGAAGAAAAAGAAGAAGACGTTGGCAAGAAGATCGACGATGGGTATTGTTCCGCGGGGCAAGTACAGTGAATGAGTGATGGACTTGCGGAGATAGAAGAAGACGATCAAAAAGAAGAAGAAGAAGAAGAAGACGGGGCTCATCTAATAGATCTTTTACTCGATCTTCTTCCGAGTAGATTTTGTAGAGGCGTCGACAACATAACGATAAGAAACGCTTTTAGAGAGGTCAATTGGCGAAAAAAGAAACATCCATTAATTGAAGACTTGGATCAAGAAGAAGAAGTCGTTTATGGAGAAGAACCTGCCCACGGTTTTTTTTCGACAAGAAAAACGATGAAAGGAGAAGAGAGGAGTGATAAGAAAAGGGTTTGATATGATATTTCGCAATTTGTTATTTTACTGTATACCATATTGCACATTTCTTCTTCAGCAGTACCGCTTGATGATAAGAATGATAGTTGACCGATCGATTGATTTTATTTTTGCAATGCAATTGTTTACGATTACAAAGAAACCAATGAAACAAGAGGTCGGCTATCAGCTGACATTGATATCTAGGTTCTAATCAGTTAGGATGGGGCGCCGTTGGCGCGAATACCTGACTCCTAACTTTAAGACATTTTTCTCGCTTTCTGTGAAAGATATCAAACAGTGACCAACTGATAAATTGTACTTTTTTGATATCATTATCAGGAAATGAGATAATTGAGCTCAAATTTGATAGTGTGGGGGCCTTTCTATTGCAGGTTTTGTGTACAAGATCCACATGAAGTGCTTAACACGGTTCACATGTACATTTCATGTCAATTTCAAATGAAACGAAACAACAACAGGAGGGTGAAAAGACACACAGGAGAAGATGGAAAATAAATAGGAAAAGTTGTGGAGGGAGGTTAGAATTCAGCACAACCCTCCCGCGCCTTCCCTTCAACACATTTTGAACCCAGTGCAAACATAAAAAGAGAGAGAGAGAGAGAGAGAGAGGGCGAAGATTGGTTTTAACTTGAAACTATTAGAATGGGGAATAAAGGGAAAAAAGTAATGAGGAGCAAAACCGATGATGCCCTTTTGGAAAAAAAACATGATGACGACGTCTCTTGAGGGCACAGGCCTCGCCATAAATGCATGAAAAAAGAGGGAAAAAAGGAGAAAACATCGCTTTCCGTTCTGATAACGACTACTACTTCTAGAGCCTATGAAGTGAGGCATAATCAGGTGTGCTTGCTTGCTTGTGCCCATATATTCGATTATGAATGAATATGAAGAAAACGGAAATGGGAAGAAGAAGAAGACGTTGCCGAGAGCTCGGGGATGTATGAAGAAGACGAAGGGAAAATCCGATTGGAGAAGGATTAGAGAGAGAATCTTTGGGGAAGAAGCAAGGAGAGACACTGATAATCTATCGATTACACCTTAACTTTAGTATCACCATCACGTGTTTCTTCTTCTCTCCGTTTTGTGTCAATTTCCAAATTTGGTAATTGATGGGAAGAGAAGACACCTAGGCACTGATTTTTATTATTGTAAATTACTAGAATTGACTTATTCAGGGGATTGGAGCTAGATGTCGGAATCGGATGAATTTTAGATAGGGAGCTAAGGAGATAGGATACGGGAAGCTAGTAAGCTACGAAACTAAAAAGCTAGAAACCTAGAAAACCAGAAAACTAGGAAGCTAGGAAAAGCTAGAAATCAGAGCTACACAATGACTTTTGGGAAATAAGTTCAAGAAGAAAATTCCCCAACTAATCAATAGAAAATGTCGGAAGAAGAAGAAATAGGAAAAAGAAGAGGAAGACATATAACGATGGATGGCAAGAAGAGAAACGAAACGTGTTCTGTTTTCTGTCGCTCGTTTCCTCCACCATCCTAAACCAACACAATGGCTGGAACGCAC